TTTTTACAATTCACTATGCATACAAGTTTTGTTGGGTTTTAAAATGATGATAATAACCAATATGGGTTGTGTTCTTATTTTTCGAGCACGTTTATCTCTCCCCGTCCTGAGTGGCTTTGTTTTTATTCGTAAATAAATTATCATTTATCTGTTGAGCAATAACTCAGCAGATATAAAAACTAATTGTGATTATGATGCGTGTGCACTAGCAAAAACCGAAGTTTGACGTCATCATCATCAAATTTATCTGCCTTCATGGACCCCCCGTACGCTGCATTAAAATAAAGGAAAAGGTGCCGCTATTTCAGTGAATTTACACTCCAGCAGATATGTCCCCTCTGCACGTGTGATGGTACAGTTTCACAAAGTATGAAATATCGGTTTTCGTGGCTCGGGTGAACTGAATTCCGTTTGGCCTGTTCGCCGAGCTGGGTAGTTTGTTTGCAAGCACTTTCGACTTGACCTCGATTGATGACGAAACGTTGGCAAACAAATTACCAACCTCGGCAAAAAGGCGAAATGGATAGTATAGTTTCTCTGTTTCCATTTGTGAATAACTGTTGATATGTCTTCGAACTGCGATGGTGCTCTCAGGTTGACAAAGCGATCGACGATTGCAGTGAGGTAATCAACCTTCGCGAGGAGATCCTGGAGACTGTATTGGAATTGGAAGCGACGCTGTTTTCCTATGATATGGGTGTAAGTTTATCGCAATTTCCAATGACCACAATTCATATATTTTTCCGATAAAATGCATTCGGACGATTATGCTATTGTTTTGAATTGTGAATTGCTCAATGCCATTTTTAAAGTAGTAAACGCTGTTTTGGATGCACCTATTCAAAATGTGAGGATAATGCTTGCGGAAGAACGTAATGGACAACAAAAAACGGATAAATCATTCAAAGGTTACTTTATACTCGGCATTATAACTCTGTAAGTCCGAAACCGAAAAGAGGAACTTTCGAATGATGGAATGAATGAACTTACAGAGGGCAAATAGATTTAACAGAATGAAACATCTCATTTGGACTAGGGCCGTTACGGTTTTGTGCAACGCTCCGTATTTGTGGTTAAACCGTTCAACAGTCTGTTCAAATATTTTGAGGCTACGATATACAATTCGTTAACCTGCTTCAGCAAGTCGAGGGAACCGCAGACCCTTGGAATATAAGTACAGCAAAATACTACTCATTTGAAATGTTTACTTCAGTTTATGCATCCGCATCAATGGAATTTCATTTCAAGCTACCTATTCTACTGATGGTCGTACGGAGTTGGGGGTTAAACACACTCGCCCTATGTTTGAGTATTCCTTAAGCTGATTGTTCAGAAATGGATCAGTTGGTAGAAGTATCGTTCATTATGGAGTCAGTCCACAAATCACTAACAAATTCAGCATACAGTGATGGACAAAAACAGTCACATGCATGGCTGTCACCTAACTCTCGCCCTACCCTGTTATATGCAACTTGACCTCTTTCCCACATGACTCACGTTTTGATATTGGCTTGTACCGGAAAGTATTCTCTCGGGCCGCATGATAGGGATTATAAGCAAATAATTGTCACGGGAGCGTGGTTCGATCAATGTTTTGTTGATGAATTGAGCTGCTATTATAACGAAATATTAAGAAGTTAAACAGTAGACGTTTGTGAAAACTATTTAGTTGTACCGTTATTTGAAGTCTAGTCAAGCTCAATAAGGAATAAATGCCATTTGAATAGGAACACAGTGTAGGTGAATATACGTTTTGGTTGAACATATCCTCAGGCCTGTACAATCGCATTTCACGCATTAAGCATGACTTCGATCTACCAAACAACATACGCTTTAACATCTATTTCGAACAGAATTCAAACATAAAAGGAGGTAGGTCGTGTGGACTTTGATGACCCACTACACATGGTTGATGTTGAGGTTAAGGTCAACTGTTGCTCATGTGGTACATAGATGGGAAGCTAGGCGGACACCAACGCGGCATTCACAATCGTTGATTGAGTCCAGCGACAACCCCGAGATTCAAAATCCGTCTCGACGATAGGAACTACAGAGTCCGAAGGATAATGGGCCGGGTCGTGATCATGACGATTACGTAATCTGTATTACGTCATCTAACCAATGCAACAAGCTGGAATGGTTTTTGACACAATATCACACATCTTTCTTTGACCTTTGGGAATATCATCCCAAATAAATGTAATCATAGAGGTTAGGCAATGAAATCACCGAAACTATTTATTCACATTCCCATTTTCATCCAACTATTGGAGATATTCAGCGGTTGGATAATCCCATTAGCATTTAAAAGAATGCGCCAGTGAAACGGCTCTCAGAGGCCTTGGCGATGGGAATTGACAAGAAGAAAGTTTCTGGTATGTTTGGGTGAGAGCTTTCTTCAGGGTAGCATTTAAAATAAGATCATTATTTACCAGAAGCAGAATAAAGGCGAAAAAATTTAAGAAACGGTCGATTTGATTTCATGGTCACCTCGCGTGTTATGAGGTTGGACAAGATGGAAAGAGCTATACTAGTAAAACTGACCTCAAGACTATTAGAAATTTACATTTATATCAGGGTTATCATATTGGAACAAGGCATTTTGCTGATGTTCAAGTGGCTATTCAAACACCTGATGATTGGCGAGAACCCAAATCTAGGGATATCTTGCATTGTTTCCAATGATTTTAATAGTACCATTATCGATATGTACTGACATGCTCCTAAATATCTGCTTCTAGGCGGAATAATTTCAAAGATGATCTGTGAATAATAAAACGAGTCAAATAATAAAAAGTAATAACTCAAAATAACTAAGTTTTGTTTGATGAGGACTAGAAGATTTGAGTTGGTTAATAATGAAGTCATCCTGTAGATTAGGTGTGAACTGAATCAATGGACAGCTGTTTCGATCTGATTGGTTGTCATCAGCAGTACGAATTCATTGACCCAACTTTCCGTTTGTGCATTTGTGCCTTTGATTTCAGCATAAAACGGAGAAAATTCAATTGCAAAATACGTGCGTTCAACAACTCGAACGTTACTACATGCTAATTTGTCTCAATGCCTATCTACGTGAACAGGTAAGGAAGGCCGGCTTGAGTGTATACCATACTATTGCGTACCAATGTATTGCTCAATCTATCCCTCTTGTTTCTCACGTACCAATTTACAGCTTCCAATGCGGTTCAGTTTGAGCTTCACCGACTGGATGAGGCGTCATCCGAAGCTCTATCATGTGTTGCAACATTTGAATCTGTCCGAATGGTACGCCTCGCCTGATTTGTTGAAAGGTGGTCAGAGAATACTGGTACGTACGATCGATGAATTCGATTTTGTTTTGGTTTTTCATTGTGAGAGAACTCGATGGAAAATAAGTGAAAAGGAGGATAAATGAGGAAAGCACAAGTGAAAGTTCTTTCTGTTGTGACGGATGAGATCGTATAAAGCTATGAATCAGGGCGAAACCGAGTTGCTAAGTTTATAGTTGAGAGCACACAACGTAGGCGAACATGTGCTTTCATGAAGTTCGATTTCGAAAGTTTACAATCATTTTCATATAAAACAAAATACAATAAGGTCATGCAGAAGAATGGACGAGTCATCTGTTTGTGGTAATGAGTCCGAGAAAACTCCAAATCGATACCCTGTTCGGATTGCGTAATCCTTTGCTACGTCATGGTCACGTGTACAAGTGATTTCGACAGCTTGGATTAATTTTGGCCATGCGCGTAGTTCTGGATTCCTGAGTCGGATACTAATCGCCTCTGCGATCACCAAAGTCTGAAATCGTATTGTTCTCACGGGGAATGCTGAGACTCGAAAAATGATTGTTATTGTCAAATGCAATTCAACCAAGCGTCCTATCTCTATCATATCAGCAACAATAAAGTTCAAGAACAGCAACAGTTTGACGAACACCCTCGTTTTCAGTTATTCGTAATCATGCCGTTACACAACATTAAATAGAACTAACAGCAAGAACCAATAGGGGAAGAGGGATTCGAGTACTAATGGTTCATCTCTGACTCCAATCTTGCGCGCATGTGTGCTTATGTGAAATTACTATCGGTGTCAAAACTTCAAGTCATCGCACACGTGTTGGAGTTGATTAACTGGACAAGGGGTCATCACTACACACATAACTCATCCACTTTTCTGTTTGACCCTATTGATCGTAAAAGCTTGAAAATGAATTCACCGAAAACATACGTTTGTCTACATTATGTTCTTAACCAATGAGTGGTGGTGGCCCGGTGATAACGTCACCAAATTATCACTCTTGGGATGTGTGTTCAAACCCCACCACCACCGCCTGACTTTCCCCTTTGTGTGTTGAATGGCAACCCTCTGATTGGCCGCTTCCCCCTTCCCGAAAATTGTATCTTTATATATTCAATAAAACTAAATAAAAAGGGAAACAAAAAGAAACGCGCCTATTCCGCGATATGAAAAGAGCTCATAGTTATTTTGACAACCATGTGCATATCATTTGTTCAGTTTTGGAGGCCAGCAGATTGTTAGAATGCTTCGTGAGTGGGAAAATGTTCCATGTGATAGCCTGTCGATAAGACTTCTTGTGAACATCAAAGTGTGCGCGCGACCTCCTAGTGTTTCGTTTCCCCAGATAGACAAAAACACTAGTCATTGCCGTAGACGTTTACTGGCCTATCGTGGTACTAGAAAGTATCGAATACGAGCCCGTGTGACGACTAGACAATGTAAGCAAATAAGTGTAGAGGCAAAGCGAAAGCGTGTCGCACACGTTGACTGGGTTTGAATCAATTCAGCTTATATATACATCTGAGTGGAAAACCGCGCTCAGTAAAACACAAACAGTAAAGTAAAATAGAAAGTGATAGCACAATAAAAGTCAAAGTTTCTTGTGAAGAAAATATGAACGAGAAATGTCCTCGTGAGTTGTTCTGTTTCTTCGAACAATCCTCGTCACTACAAGTTAACCGTCTACAGAATATTTGTTTGATATTTGAAAAGAGAACACAACATAATAACGTTGGACAATTATTATTTGAATGGATTTCGCCGTGTCTCCTCAAGCGCATACTACAGATTATATAGGACAATGAAATGATATCAAGATCCACTTACCAGGGAAACTTCGTTTTTCAACTTAATTTCGAGAAAAGGCTATGTCAATTAGCCTGATACTAAAAAATAAACCCATTCGTACAGTCTTCTCCGGGTTTCTATCTAGTTTCTATTTAGCTTGCATTTCATCATTACGTTTGGAAAGTTGCAATGAAGTGTTTTCATCTGATAATGTTTGTTCAGTTGCTTAAATTGTGAAACGTTCAGTAGTCTTACTCGGACTCCGCCTATAGTGCACGCTGCCCGTGCTGAGCTACAAGGCCACACCGATAGCCGTGACGTTTTCACGATTAGATCATCCGTCCTATTTTCTTTCTGATACAGTCTACAAAAACGCCTATTAGATCATGTCTACGATTACCTACCAGGTTGCTGCGATACAACCAATCGTCTTCAGTCTTGCAACCCCGCGAGGACTTCATTAATAATAGGTGAATTCTAGAAACTGTGACATCTCAGATTATTCAATAATACTTGCGTTGGAGTGAAATGAAAATCTTCGTCAGATATTTTTAACAAAATAATCAGGAGCGATAAAAGCGTCAATTACTATTTGTATTGAAATTATGTGTATTTACCTACTGTTCAGTTGATATCGAATTCAAATACATATTCTTTGCTGGTATTGTAATCTTCTACGATGAGCTCAGCTTAATATTGCACTCTACTTGTTCATCCGTTTCCAGTTTGTAGCGTTTCTTTAAAATGATTTAGCATATACTTCTTTGATGCAACTTTTTAAATCCACTAATCGAGTTAAAATGTTCCATTGCAGTGGGACATTTGCTCGGTTTTCCACTCTGTTGGAAAGCGTTTCATTCAATAATTAGACAACAAAAGCCGCGGTCAATTGTTTTTTTTTAGATATGCAAAGTGTTTTAAATCCACTACACCTAGCCACAAGCCAATTGAATTTACTGGTAACTGGGGTAACCAAGATTATCTTTTTGAGAGGGGGGGGGGTAGGGAGAGGGGGCAAGTGATCGGATCATATCGGCGCACAATCGGACAATTTTGCTTCTGGAACCATTTAGGGCGCGCTGTTTATGTACTGTTTTGCGTGTCGTTGAGCGTCAGAGTTTACTGACCCACTGGAGACCTAATATCTTGTTTCACGCCCACCTCCCCCCCCCCCACCACGGAATCAAACGGCTATCCGTTTAAACAGACATGGCTGTGTGACAGAGCTTATTCATGGACTGCATTTTGCTTTCATCAATGTTCCTGATCATAAAGCCACAAACACAGTCATGGTTTCGTTGACCACTGTATTAAAAGTCACCCTTGTGGTATTCGAACCATAGGAGTTGGTTAATAATATCCAAGTGCCCCCAAAATTTTGGAACTCATTGTTGGAGTAACCGTAACTGAATGCCAAACGTTTACCATCCGTAGGAGGCATTAGATATTTTGATAAATGGATAATGAAAGCTTTCCTCCATACACGCTCCCTCAACGCCGCTGATCCTGTGAGACGCATTGTTCTGTCGTACTGCTACTTATAATACAAAGCTAGTTCATTAGCACTGAAACCACCAGTATCGGAATGTCCTTGGAGCAACTCAGGTAAACCCATTGAAAATTCGCTCGATGCATCACATTATAACACCAAACCTTCACCGAATACCTAAAGCCGTACCTCACGAAGCACTGTTCGTCTCGTTATTTCCACCGTTAAACGTCATATATGTATGCCCAAGAGTGAAACCCACCTTTGAAAGACAAACTCATCATGATGCACTTCTGTNTTCTGTTCTCCCTCGGTTGTCTTCCTAAAAACAACGACGACTCGTAACGACTCGTAATGCTGTTCCCTCAGAACGCTAAACCAAACCTAAGTGATCTGGTTAATTTCGTGGAATTTCATCTTGGTTTTGAGGGGGTATCGTTACTGAGATGCTCGAGTGTTAACCAAATCTCTGATACAGTTCTATGAGATTTAACATTACAAGCAGTCGTGTTTGAATTGCTAAGTGAATTTATCACAGAGCTCTGAGTTGCACCGGGAAGATTCAGCCTATCCAATTCACTCTTCTCTCTGATTGTCAGACGCTTATATATTCTTATGTCAGATGACACCGTGTCGAACTGCTAACATCAGTGTGCTTTTCTTGCAATCCAAGCAATGTGCATTTTACCGGGTGAGAGACCACTGGCTGAATGCAACGTTGTTTGTTCATTAT